CCACCGTGCAGCCTCCTTGAAAAGAGTTGGAATAATCCACGATCCGAGCTGCTCTTGTTCAGCAGAGGCACAATATTTTGAACATGTCCTATAGCATTGCCCAAAGTATAGCCAGCAACGATTAGAATTATTAAATAAATTAGCAAAAATCAACTGCCTCACGGGCCTACATCACGAAAAAATTCGCAGATGGAACTGACTATAAATTTATAGAAGAAATATGTAAATATTAAAAATTGTAATATACAAATTTAACTTTACGAAAAAAATGTTTTTTTTTAAATAAAAAATGCAACATACTGACAGTGTAAATAACCAATATTATAGGTTGCAATATTCTAAATGGATAATATAAAAAAATCATAATGGGAATGTTGACTTTCACATAAAACGCTGGGTTACATTCTGATTTTTCTACATTTTATCTTGAAAAAATCAAAACCGCCCATAAATCGAAGAAAATGCATTCCAGTTCACAGTTTTTAATAATCGTGAAATTTATCATAAGGATGGACGTATGGAAAAATTGAATAGAAAACGTAGTGAATTCGCTAGAAAATTCTATTGGAATTCTATAGGAATTCTATGGAGTTTCTGTAGGATTTCTATTGAAAAATAGAATTCCAATGAAAAATAGAAATAGTCGTTTGATAAGCAAAAAGTCAGTAGATTTCGAATTTCTGTTTGAATTGTTCTCTTGAGATTTTTTTTATAAGATTGCTTGAGCATCAATTTTGTAATTTTTTTCCTCTCGGATTCTGTAATGCAAAACAATACAAAATCCAGCGAAAAAAACTTGGAAAATTTGTGCTCAATAATTCTAATAGAAGAAATCTGAATAGATTTCGAACAGAAATTCGAAATCTATTGACTTTTTCTACTCGAATATCCAATAGAATCAGCGCAAAAAAAAAAGAATTTTTCAATAGAATTCCAATAGAAATCCTATAGAAACCCCTAAAGATTTCCTATAAAATTCCAATAGAATTTTCCAACCAATTCGCTAGGTTTGCTATTGCATTTTTCCATACGTGTAGAGCTACATTACATATAAAAAATGAACTTACGCTCTGGACGATATCAATCTCCGAAGTCTCGGGTGCTCCCTGTGCCTCACGACAACATTCTCCCCAGCTTTGGGTCTCCTCCTCCAAAACTTCAACGATTGCATCTCAAAATTCACATTACAATCTCATCTCTAACAAAATTCATACGGCGCCTTGATAACATACATCCTCCGTATCCCGCAGTCACCGAATCACTGGGATCCTCTCTTCCTCGGAGTAAAGTTTTTAAACAGGAAAATCTTGCTCGAAATGATAATCAACAGCTGTTACAGTGTACATGAGTCTAACGTCACTGATGCGTAATATTGTCGGCGACTGCCGAGTTATGCATGTGTGCATTCTGGATGTGAGTGGAACGTCATAAGGATTTATGCGAATTTGTCATTCATTGGAGTTTCCAAAGGATCGGTTGTGATTAGTTCACTATGGTTGGGCTAAATTTGGTCTTATACGTGCCTTTCGATGTGTTAATGAATACGTCAGACGTTATTTTTATGGAAATTCATTAAGAGAAATTCTTTTTCAATGGCAATTATTTTTAGAATTCCATTAAAATGAATTAATGAAGTCTATCTCCAGTCGATGCAATTGGTCCCATACGAATGAAAAAATGAGTGGCTAAAAGTAATTAATTTATTTAATGATTGATGATATTTTAATTGGTAAAAACCATCTATATATAAACTGTCTTGAAAGTTAGGCGAGAGTATGTGAAAAAAATAAACGTATTGTTATGATTTTGGAACATAATTTCTCTCTCTTTTCGGTTGTATCTACTGCGGACTTGAGGGTATTAACAAATGACATGACTGCCGTTTATCTTCTTGCATTAATTTTAGTCCAGTTAGAACTTCTTTTTCTTCCATCCCAATCATTTTTCAATATTAAATGAATAATTATAAAACTTCTGGTCGTAACAATATAGTTATTCAAAATAATAGGAGATTTTCAACTAAAATTAATAACGAGTTTGTAATTGAACGTGTATGGACAAAGTTAATAGAAAAACCTACACGGAGAGAAAAGTTGATTAATAAGTACTAGAAAATCATCAAAATTTTACTACACGCAAGGTCATCGTAAGGAAGCGAAATTGCAGTAGAATAAAAAGTGACTTTCACGGAGGATACCTTACTATTCGTTCGATAAAAAACACATCTATGGATGCAAAAATTATTGTTCCCTGTACACTAAAATTTCCCAAACGGCAGGCTATTTTTTTTAGGTTCGATGTAAAAAAAGGGGGACGGACGAAAGTGAAATTTTTCCATATCGCGTTTGGTAAAAAATAGGGCAGTCAGACCAATAGGTAGACACCGACCAAAACAGACGATTTCAAAGTTTTTATAGTATTCTATAAAAAATATAATAGAAATTGTATTGGAAATTTTCATTTTTGCTAATAAAACTAATCTATAATAATACGATAATTTTCCTATTTTTTATTGATGAACATTTTGAACGTAAAATAACAAATTCTGCGAGGTACAGTTCTGGTCCTCAGTGGCGGTGTGAGTACACTAAAAAAAAAGGTGGACCGATTCAGTTACACCAAACGAGACTTCTTAACTATTACCACGATTCGTTAACTATTAACGAATCGCGGTAATAGTTAAAAAGTCTCGTTTGGTTCGACTAAACCGTTCTATCAGTGCAGTTAAACAATAGTTCCGCAGTGTTGACGGAATCATGTGAAAAAACACTCATCAGGACAAATAAACACGGTATCTGTTCGATTCTCATTATCGAAAAGGATCATTCTTTATTTTTAAACACGCAGAAGGATGAGTTTATTTAAAAGACCATTAAATATGATCGTCTATCTATTGGTAACCCACCGTCTACCTTCTGGTCAGTCGTCCATTTAATGGATGGTTGGGCTGTATCCCACTTTTTCGTCATTTTATCATTTATTTCTTTATTGTTTTCACTCCAAATCATTATTTTCCCATAATTCATATATTTTTTCAGGTATAGAGCCCATCGTTGGCGTATTTCGGTGATTTATCAATTTTTAATCTTTTGACGGACCTTAAATTGTCCCTAATCGTCTATCTATTGGTCTGGTTACACTATCATTCTGCGTCACAGAAAAATTCATCCACACATGTGAATGAGTAATTCCTCTCCAACTTTTTTCTCCGGACAGGGAATTCGCTAGACAATTCTATTAGATTTCTATTAATTTTTGACCGATTCTATTGAAATGTTCAACAGAAAATATTCTACAAAAAGTCAATAGAATGTCATTTTTCTATACAATGTATTCTATTGAGATATTTTCTGTAAAATTCCCTCGACTCAAATTTTCTAGATTTCTGTCTAGTTCTTGACTAAAACATAGTTCTAATAGAAATTCAATACTGTATCTTTGAGAAAGCGCCAGATTTTTATACGGAATTCTTTCATATAAGTTGAGTTCGAATAACCCTTGCAATTACGAGGAATAAGTTTAGTGAAGCACTATTAACTAAAGTTAATGAAGAAACTAATTTGAGGTTAATGAAAAGCTCTCAATTAGAATGAGGAACAAGCTTGCGATAAAGTTTAATAAGGAGCTCGTAATTAACTTCAATAAAGCGCTTTCAACTGAGATTAATAGCAAGTTTCTAATTAAGAGTGATAGAATGAGACATATTTGAATTTGCACATCAAAAGTAGACAAAACTTATTTCAAAATTATTCTGTAGAGACGGGTAATTTATCCATCAACTGTGATATATGTTGTTGATCACACTACATCTGCCTGATACTTCGCTCGCATGCTTTTGGATTTGATTGTATCTTTTCGTTGAAAATTTACGGTCGCACCAAGCCCACTTGAGAAAATCTTTAGTTAAGGGGAGGCTCACCTCGGGAAAAAAACGTTTGCCTTTTTCGAGAAAAAACTTCAAGAACAATATTTTCCGCGTGATTTTTCCTCAGGAATACGATTTTGTAGTTTAAATTTGTCTCCGACCGCTAGAACTTGAAGATTCGATTTTTTTTTCATCGAAATATCAACTTTTGAAAAATCCCCAACGTATTTTTTTTTTCGTAATAGTTTTTTAAATATGAGTACAAATTTTCGCTCCTTAATTATGCAAAATGTGGGAGAAGATGCAATTTTTTAATTTATTCGTTTATCAAAATTTTTATTAATATGAGACGAAAAAAAAATTTCTTGTTGAAAGGTTCAAAAGTCAAATACTCAAAAATTTATTTCGAAGAAAAATACGTTAGGAATTTTTGTTAAGTTGATTTTTCGATTCAAAAAAATTCGATTCTCCACTTTTGACTGGCAGCAGACAATTCCTTTTTCACAAATTTGGTTGGCAATGAATGATTGTTTTGATTGTTAACTTTTTATTCGCCTTGCGATTGGTTGATGGATCAATCAATGATTTCCATGACTATGAGGATGTTATTGTGCGTTACAGCGCTCACTTGAAGGTGGTTGATTGCCTAGTATGACCTATAAAATCAGATTCCTGAGAAAAAATCGTGCGGAAACCGGTATTTTTTAATTTTTTTTTTCGAAAAACGAAAAATTTTTTTTCCGGGGGTCAAGCTCCTTTCAAGTATTGAAATAAATAAAAATAATCTGCCGATCAAATTTGATCGAAAGTTCATCAAAAGTATTTCACCAAAAATCCTAGTGTATTAATGTATCATCATTATTTGCCAATAATACCGCCAATTATGAAGTATTTAGTCAATATTCACGACCGAACGGCTGAATCAAAGCACTCTACAACGTATTCCTAAAATTGTTCAACTATGGAATAAATTCACTCCAAACATAAATTTATTCTTAAGATTTATTTGGCTAACAGGGCTTGATGCAACCGAGCCACAAAACGCCAAAATGATAACATGCAATCTAATATTCAGATCGAAAAATATAACCTTCTGGGTTTGTAAACCTAATAAAAACAATTTCCAATATTGCCATTTCCATTTTTCTCCATCACATATTACTTTATTGTTTCCTCTTCACGTACATTTCCGAATTCTCTAAGTATATAACAGTTTAATCCTGCGATGCATTACAAATGAAAAACAATGACTACTTCATTAATAAATATGAATAATATTGGAGCTTATACTACTTTGAACCTGGCTTATTATCCATCTTTAGCACGGAAAAAAATCATACAAGTATCCCAGAGTACTCCCGATCACATGAAATGGTTGTATTTATTATTAATAATTGCTCTATTTTTATATGCGTCTCATGAGATTGTCGGGCAAAGCACGCACAAAACATTGTCTCATGCATCTGAGTATTCTGTTCTCAATTATTTACACATATTTCTAGATACATAGACATTTCTCATAGTCATTCTCCATTTCATTTATCGACTTGATTGATTAATTATTATTTTTTCTCTTTGATTTAATCTTCTCATCAATCTATATACGTTTGAATACTGTACATACTCTCACTGTATTAATTATCATGGTGACACGGCTACGCAGAGTGAAGCGTGGAAGCGTTGTAAATTTGAATGATTTAGGCCAGATAGTAGCGAATTAACATCACCAGTCTTACATATGCGTACACATATATTTTCATAGTTTCTGTCTCTTATGTTAACCAATAACTATCGAATTGGAAACAAAACATTTGTTCTCTCCTATACATTTTTCATATAAACTAAAATTTCTCCCATTTTTCATTTTCAATTTCAATTGAATGAAAAAGATAACAGGGCTACATACTTTATACCGTTTTTTTTTCGATTAATGAGGTAGAGTTGGAGATAAAAAATGATAGCCCTTAACGTCCCATCTCTCTCAATAATCACCCACGCTAGTTTCCTCCAATAACCATAAATCATAACAAAATGACATTATACCCATTACCTATAGGCTCATCATGGTGCTTCGCCGCTGTCGCGAGTTACAAACTGCCTACAACTACGAGCTCTAATCAATAAATCTGATAACTCTACACCCCCTACAGCATATAATAAGTCTAAACAACTTGATACCTTTAATATAACAACTTGCACATCATTCCACTACAAGTCTACGGATATTTACAACAGAGTCGATAACAATTGTTGATCGATTCAATTGACATTTCCCAAATGAATCATTCTGCATGACAATGTCTACATTAATGGAATCCTCCGACCAATGATAAATGAAAAAATGTAAGGAAATATAAATTGAGACACTTCGACCAGCGAAGGAAAACAACAAGAAACTGATCAAACTAGTAATCACTTCTGCACATTGGACGTGTATGCCAATATCATTGAAACAGCATAATACGATTATAAGCATTTTTATTCCACAAAAGGTAAATGAAAAGAAGGATGGGACAGTGATACACGGTCCATTACTGTTCTACATCTATTATCGATTTTTCACCCGTTGGAGTGAGATGTTAAGCGTAAAAGTTGTTGTGTGTGGAGGACTCAACCACGATGGGAGTGTGTGAAAGAGATTATTGTGAGGGCCTGGCCGTCATGGGGCTCAGAACCGGCGAGGCACTCATCCACAGCCCTTCAACACTTACCCATCCAGGCTTGAACAGTTTGCATTTGTGGAATGCTTTCTTCACCCACCTACCGTTATCACAAATGCACAAAAGAATGGAGCAGTGACTGGGTTACATACCGTGTATTGATCCTCGATGACACCTACGTGTGGCACAATGTGTGTAAACAATACGGTCTGTTGTTGTTCGTTTTTTCTCATCTGTTTAACTTATTGTTTTGTCTCTCACATGTCGTCGAGATGATCACGGATTTCGGAAGTTCGTTTGTTTGATGAAGAGAAAGGCCCTTTCGAGGTAGGCCACAACCGGCAGTGCATACAGACCAAGATTTCGGATCAGCTGATCCACCATCACCAAATCCGTGATAATCTCAATGATTTTCGTGAGAATGTGTCGATAAAATTTGAAGATATTATTGTTTCTCTCACAACATAAACAAACGCTTAGATCTTAATGCATTCACAAAATGTCTATTTCACTTTTCGTCTTTCGTAACGAGCTTCATTAACAAAGCTCGATAGCTATAATATACAATTAATTTACAGTTATGTCAAATACTACGGTAATCATCAAAGTTTTACGTTAATTATTACATGCCTATTATTTCTAAATTACAAAGCATTATGGGATTATACAAGAATTATCGATTTAATCATTGGTATTAACGGTTGCAGTGTTACGTAATAGCGCGTCCTTTGGCGCTTTAATTAATAAAGAAATATACACACAATACATATACATTATGTACACCTTTGATTTTAGGTCTTGAAACATGTTTCACTCGCTCTTACCTCGTTTATATTTACAGGCTGAATCATCGAACATATTGTGTTCTGTTGCTCTTAATGAAACCAGATTACTCACGATTTACCTACAAAACTACAATAATAAAAAGACTTCACTAAATTATTGTCCATACACCATACTCCCAATGTACGATATCGTTTGATTATTGTGCCAAAAGAGTGTTTAATAAATTTTTCCCTCAATGTTTCATTTGTTTTTGACGTGTGGCTCACTCAATTACAAAAGGATAAAACTAATGTCTTACGTCATGTGAAAATCCCCCTTGAGTATTCTTGTGAATGTCTTTTTGAATTGCTGATTAGCCAAAGCATAGCAGAAGGGATTCATAGGGCTGTTGGCATAGCAGAGAAAGTATGAAAACATGTAGAGATGCTCATTGGTACATGGTCGATGGGTGCAGAATCCCTCAACCAATGCCATAACATGATACGGTGTCCAACAGGCAACGAAAGCTCCCAAGATAAAAGAAATAGTACGGAAAGCCTTACGTGCACGGTTTTCTGTCCTCGATTTTTGTCGACCAAACATCAGATCTTTCTTAGCTGTTTTAGCTTTTAACCTCTTTCCAATTGATTTGACAAAGTCCCTCCTAGAGCCACCACCTTCCTCCTGTTCATCCTCCTTCTTCTTCGACTGTCTCTTAGGATCAGTTGTCGAGGATACATCAGCTGCCGGAACAACAGTTGGCGCAGCACTACTCGATGATGAAAACTGGGGTGGATTGTTCGTTTTCAGATCAGTCGTTGTGCTGTTTGACGATCCAATTGGTGTATTGACAACAGTGGTAACTGGTTGTCGTTTGGTATCCTCCTTAACAGTGACCTCGGTGTTCACCTTGCTCACTATGGGGGAAGTTTGTGATGAGGCATTGGTATGGTGTGTGGCAAAAACACGTGGTGGATGAGTTTGACAGGATGCATTTATGAATTGAGGATAATTGGATGGTTGGATTGTACCAGTTTGCTGTTGTGTTGCTCTTATAAGGGCAGCTTGTAGCAAACTGGTGTTAGCTGCTGAGGTACCAGTGTGTCCCAGTAATGGTGATGATGGAGCTGTTGATAAAGGATTAGCAAGACTACAGGAAAAGGATGATGGTGGACTTTCGAAGGATGGACTTGGTACGATCACAGAACTTTCGTCCATGTATCTCAAATCTGCACCATCCAGACCAGTCAATATGTCGTACGTACCTGGGCCACCTGTTGACAGGGACTTTGGTCTGTCGGTCGATGATGCTGTTGATGTGTGGCTGTCTGATGCTGGTGAACTACCTCTGAATTGTGTTGGTGGAGAGATGATTATCTGTTGACTGCTTGATGATGTGCTTTTGTTCTTCACTTCTGAAGGTGGTGTTTCCTCGATGAGTCCGATACAACGATTCACCTCGACTACGTTGGACCGAAGGGACTGCTCTGGTGTTAAAGTGCTGCTGGACTTGTCGAGCTCGATGGAGTGCTCAAGAAGATTTTCAGTCTCAACGAGACTGTTCTCCTGGATCTTCGGCAGTGTGTGGGTTTTCATTGCTGCTGAAGGCTCCAGTGTTGCTGGCGAGGGTCTCCTCATAAGAGGATTCATCTCCACCTTCACTGGAACGATGCCGTTCATCTTCCCGTTGGTGGCGAATGCATGGAGAGCACCAGCCTGTACCATCAGCCCTGCCACTGAGGACTTTTTCCTCAAGTTAGCAGCCTGTTGGGAAGATGTAATTGCACCTGCTGTACTCTCATCATCAGAATCAAATGCTGGACTGCTGGACCGTTCAGATTTCTCCATTTCGGACTGGGTGGTATTATTAGAAGTCGGCTTGTTAGAAGAGTCTTTACTCTGTGACAATTGTGACGAGGACTTTCTCACGTTCAGAGTATCTGTCCCGTCTTTGTTGTCATCTTCCTGACCTTCAGGGTTACCCTCGGCCCCAAGTGTCCCACCTCCAATACTACTCTTAGGCTTGTCCTGGCTGAGCATCGTACTCTGGGTCTTCGAGATTCCAATCCCAGCAGCTCGACCAGCCATTCCTGACATGGCACCGGCACTCAGCGCCACCATCGACTGCATTTTCCTCTGCTTTGCTTCACTCTTCTTCTGCATATCATACGCAGTTTTGTAGATCCCACCGTAAAGGATGAAGAGGACCACAAGGGTGGTCCAGTAGTAACCAATGATGAGGGCAGTGTTGAATACTGGATCCTTCAAGAACTGTACCGCACACTCATTCGGCTTGAGGTTTCTATAGCCAACAAAGTGCTCCCAACCGAATATACTGATAAAAAATAAAAGTGCTGGGATAATCCACGTTATCGTAACCATCCATATCACACGATTCTTGGTTCTCCAACCTCTATACTTAGCGGCTATCTTGACGGAGCAAAAACGATCTATGGTGATTAAAAGGACGGTGTACTGTGATACAAGACATACTGTGTAATCCACAGAGAGCCATAGGTCACAGAGCAATGGACCCAGATCCCACGAGCCCATTAGCACGTAGACGGTGTAGAAGGGCATAGATACAGTGCCTGTAAAAATTAAATCATTCATTCATGAAAAGTTATAAATCAACAAGTTGGGCAGGTTTAATTTATGATGATTTGTTCTACCGATAAGCATGTCAGTTGCAGCTAACGAGGCAATGAAGTAGTTGCTCGGTTGCCTGATGGTTCTGTCGACGATGAAGGCCAATAGTACCAAAATATTACCACCAATTGTCAGGACAATGCATGATGCAAGACATAGGGCTATCAACACCGTCTGCCACATCTCAAAGGGCGGAGCGTTCTCATCGGTAGTCCAGGCTTTCTCTGTTGAGCAGAATGAGATGGAATGAACATTTATATCGGGTGTGACAAGTTGAATAAGTTTTATATGAATGGAGTTTATCTCAATTGTTGAGTACAATGAGTTTTCTTTTTTGAAGTTTGAGGTCATATTCTCAACGTTTCAAAGTGTTTCCTCTCATTGTGAAGTTTTTCGGACTCATTTTCTCATTTTGAAAAGCGATTTGATATAAGAAGCAATTTAACTTTAAATAGACTTTTGCATGTGCTCGGAGATGAAGTGGGAAGGCAACCTGAGACAAATATGAAATCTCTGCTAATGAGGTCATGATATGAGTAATAAGAGTTGTAGCCTAATATGTCAGGACTTTTTCCTATGACGAATGTTTTTTAGTGACAACTGCAAGCATCATATCACCAGGCTTAGATAATGAGATATTCGTCGACTAAATTATATGGAGGGAATTTCTCTGATGCAACTCGGTTATTTACCATTATGAAATTTTTTTTGAGTAGGGGAAAATAGGATAATGAAGTGAAATGCAAGATTAGTAAAAAATCAGCAATGATGCAGACTACAGGGTGGGGATATAAGAATTATCATTGCTTGATTACGTGCCTCAATTCTGATAACTGATTCACTTATTTCGAGTTCCGTACTTATTTAATGGGGTTTTTATGAGGCATACTGGGGGGCAAAGTTGACCGTATATCATCGATGAAATATCCCAATATCTCTATCTATAAACAAATATATCAAGAATTGAAGTTCATCATCAACGTTTTACTTTGTCCTACTCACCCCTATCTATTTTGGTTTCTATTTCGTTTTTTTTTCACTTAAGTTGTTTATGCCAATTCAAATTTGACCCATCTCGTATTATCGTAAGTAATAATGAAGGAAGCAATAGAGAATACGCTATAAGCAGAACACCACAATATGTAAGCAACATAATTGACAAATGAAAGTAGCTGTAAAATCAAGCTTAAAATTAGAACAGATTTCCACAAATTCAATGAATATCTCTCTATATTATACAAATCCAAATCGACTGGTGGTGATACGAATTTGGTACTCAAAATTAAGACTCCAAAATTAAGGGTCAGAAACTAAGGGTCACAAGAATTCTAATGAGGATCAGAATAAGGGTCACGAAATTATAATGAGGATCAAAATAAGGGTTCGAAGGGTCAGAATAAGGATCATGGGGGTCAAAATAATAATCACGAGGACACTGAGGGTCAGAACAAGGGACACCAAGGACACATTAAAGATCACAAGAGTCAGTTTAAGGGTCGCAAGGGTCAGAATAACGGTCCAAATCATATGAGGGTCATATGGGTCTATATGGGGAACCTATGGGGGTTGGCGAGCGCAGCAAGCAGCGGGCGTAGTCCCCTAGTATGCAATAATATTTCATAAACAAATACAATTGCATCGATACATTGTCATCACATACCTACACCCGATGAATTGGAGATATTACTAAAATTACTAGCAGCCCACTCGGGAAGTAGTTCATTGTATTCGCCACTGAACATGCGTGGATCGTTTGGATCAATCCAAGAGCCATTGAGTTGAGTGCATTCAGCACTCAGAAGATCGTATACATACCGGCAGACCTGCTTCGGTTGTTTCTGCAGCTGTCTGAAACCCAAAAACATCGCTCTTTAGATCCTCCTCAAGTGTTCTTAACGTGATCTCTACCATAAAAAACTTAACCCATCATAAAACCCCTAGCACTTGTCACCACCCATGAAATTGTATCATCCCAATTCCGCCAAACTTCCCCCAACTTCTTCATCCAATCTCGAAAGTTGAGGTGACAGCTTGTTAATGACCCGCCCCCCGCCCCAACGGTGTCTTCTCTGCCTCACTTGTTGGCATTACGTTTCTGTTTTCTAAGAAACTGCTGAGCGAAATGAAGAAAGCCAACAATTCTGGGTGCTTATAGTAGGAATATTGCTGTACTCAAGAAGTTGGTTACTCGTTCACCATAGCAGGCACTTTTATAACATCAGAAAGGAGACAGACCGAGGGAAGAAAATACCGATCCCGATGTATTTCCCGTTGGTGGAGACGACGCAAACTCTCTTCATGTGCCACTGCTGTATGTGTAACAGTGTAGTGACACACGAGTGCACCGAGTCAAAGGCTGAATACACTCAGTGAACACAATGAGCTTGAAATAAGTATGAATGGAAACTACCTACCGACAGTACACCCTGTCATGTACACTTTAAAGAACTCTCCTCTGCTGAGTCACTCTCCTCTTTTTTAATAATTTATCCACATCGATAACAATCATCTCGTTTCTTTGAGAAATAGATTGCACGGTGGTACATGATCCAGGGGTCGTCTCGAGGGATGTAAGCAATTGGAGAGGTTTTTTGCTGCTTCGCTGCATGATGCTGCAAGGTTTCCTGCGGTCTACAGTTGTCGAGACTTACTGGTATTGGAGAATAGTTTGACGTCAGTGGAAGGTTGAGGGTGAATGTCTCAAATTAGGTTTGTTATTCCAGCGATGGGATTTTTTAGGTTGGGTTGATATCATGTGCGATCGCAAGTCAGTCACTGGTGGTATGAAATGGGGATAATGGTGTCATATTATATGACTAGACAGACGCGCGCGGATCTGTTTTGTTATTTAAAGCATGAAAACATAAGAGGGTTGCCTCACATGCGAGAGGTTTCGGGTTCGATTCCCGGTCGGGGAGAATAGTGATAATCTAACCATTCAAAGTCGTGATCAAGCGGCCGTTACAATAGATCTTGATAGATTTAGGTGGCATAGGGCGCTTTGTGCGCCTAGTCGCTCCATTCTAATCTCTAATCTCTAATACGGAAATGAAAAAGTGAAATCCAATTTGTACACATTTCATATACTCAGGAATGCATTATAAACATGAATGATAAAAGACAAAGTATTGAATCATTTTTTATTTTTGAACAATCAACATCTGAAACAACTTTGAAAGTAACCCGATCAATATCCGTGATTGTTGAAGTATGGAAGTGTTATGAATTGATTTTTTAGGAAAATGAATACGTTTCTTATAAATTGATTTTCTAGAAACATTAATAATTTTTCGAATTTTTTAAAAAACACGACTATTTTCTAGATTGTTCTCGAATTAAGAAAACGAGATTTGTCTCGAGTTTTCTAGGCAGACGGGGAAGTTTCTCGGATTTTTACATTGAGAATTATGCTCGGATTTCATATCAATAAATTATATTATTTGGGAAAAATAAAAAATTGAAGAAATCGAAATCTATTAGATTCATGAAAGTACACGGTGAATGAAAACGCACGAAGGCACAATTAATTAATTTCGCGCATGATAAACATAAGGAAATTAACGATTGTGGCATGAAGAATGACTTGTGAGTTTAAAGAATTTGAAAATACCGTGTGTTTTTCAGGCTGAAATTTCCCATACACTTTTTCGAAACTTGTATCACATTTATATTCCACTGAAATATCGCGGAATTTCGTCATTGAAAATTGTAAATTTCGCGAAAAAATCAATGAGAACGGTAAATTTTAGTTCAATTCTTCCCCTAAAATTGATAGAAAACCGCAAAATTCCGATGATTCTTGAATTTTCAATTAGTTGAAAATTCAGGCTAATTTGGCACTAAATATTGATGTTTGCATTGAAAATTCAAATAACTTGAAGAATTCTTGTTTTCATGCGTTTTAAAATTTTGCAATTTTATTGAAGTTTCGGCGAAATTAGATTTTTTAAATATTTTTTTCCCTTAAATTGCATTCAGTAGCACTGGCCTCAAAATTATTAGTCAACTGTTCATGAAACTTCATTTTTTTTCTAACAGTATTATTGAGAATAGCTCCTTTGATAATAATTCTATTAAAAAGTTTTCCGATCGAACCCTGAAAAAAGACCGAAATCCTTAAGTGTATTCTTTGACCGATGAGTTGATGAGTAATTTGGTGTTGGCCTCTGCGGTCAGACACGAAATTGTTCAAAAGTCCGAAATGAAATTGACGGTTAATTTCCAACTATATAGACGATTTTTTTATGATTTTGGCTCGTGTCTATCGCAGGTTAACTGCATGCAACGGTCATCTGGTATGCAAAATTCGGTCAGAGTCAGAAAACGGTAGAAACCGGCCATTTACGTCTGACCTGACCGAAAGAGAAAATGACGGTCATTCCACATCTCTAGTCCTCAATTACTATATTCACATAGTAATTTCGAATTTTAGATTCTCTCCGTGTACGAAAACTTGATTACAAGTACGGTAATCATGTGATCACAGTGATTTCATCGATTTCACCGGGATTCTAAGTGATTGCCCCAGCGACTGACACCATGATTACGTCCGCGAATAGCCCCCCCACAAAAACTAAAGAAGCAGGAGAATGCATTGGGAAATCGACCAGATTGAAAATTATTCGGGTTTGTCTAATCCCATCAGAGCGAAACAGAGAAACCGATAATCATTTGAATGCTGCAGCCATCAGACATCGGCAATGACGTCAGATTTGTATTGAGCCATCATGGGAAGAACCGAAGAGACATCCCCCATTGTTTCAGTTTTCTCGAGAGTAAACAGCCAGCCTCATTGTCTCATCAACGAATTCATTACTCGGTTAACTGTATGAGACAAGTGGATTATTCACAATTAACCAAGCTTTTCCCAATAGTCAATGAATAAAACATGTTTACAATTTGTTTGATGAGGCATTCTTAAACTAAAAATTGAACCACTTGAATAACTCAAGAATGTTTTAACTCTCAAAAGAAATACTTTGACAAGGATGAATGAATCAATTTATTCGTCAGGCACAAAGCATTCTTTTGGAGTGGGTGAACAGCAGCGTGGCGGATAAAAAATCTGTTCAACTAGGTGGAAAAATTGATTACCCCCAGGAAACTTGATGAGGTATGCCTGCGATGAAGATTAGGCGGGTGGGCGGGGGTGGTGGAACACGCAAGTTGGTAAACCGTCGAGAGAAAATTAACCAATCGCTCGTTTGAGCACGGCTAACACTGTGGTGTATTTCATGGCCTCTGGTCTACGCTGCTTTGTGTATTTCTCGCTGTAAACATTTAATTGCATCTGCATGCTATGAATAAAAATTGGTCATTATTGGGCGATGGGGGGGGGGGGGGGGGCG